AATAAGAACAAAATGGCATAGTATTCTGTTGAGGCATAAAATTTTGATTATTAATGGCGGGAATTTGATTATTATTATTGGGTAAAGGATTATTAACAGGTCTATTATTATTATTGTTATTAAACCTGTTAAAATTTGAATTATTAGGCGCTCTGTTGGGTTGAAAGTTATTATTAAATTGTTGAGGCCTTGAGTTATTATTTGGCGGATATTGAACATTGTTCCTTTGATTTGGAACAACTTGTTGATGAATTTGATTCTGTAAAGCATTTGAAATTGGAATCTGAAAATTATAAGAATTATTTAAAGGTAACTGTAAAGGATTTTGGACGTGATTTATTTGTAAATTCTTTAAATCAGTACATAATATTTCCATTTGTTGATTTGCTTTAGCCTGCATTCCTCCAATCTTTGCAACTTTACTACTAGTATCCTTTTGAATAACTTCACTTTTAACTCCAGCAATTTCATTCTTGATGGTATATTTCTCTTCTCCAATATCTTCAAATACCAAAAGCGCCTCTTCTTCAATATAATGATCAACCACCTTCTTTAATTTCTCTAAGTTAGGTAATTTATATCTTCCACTTGATACTTTCTTCATCATCTTCTTCTTAATCATCCTCTTCTTAAATTTCTTCTGAAGTTCATCTGAAAAAGCCTCATAGAAATATCTTGCCACTTCTTCATCACTTGAATCCACGTAATCATGTCTAGCCAAGTATTGATGAATTTTATCAAAGTTAATTCTGAATGTTTGATATTCACTTTTACACGTAACACCTCCATTTCTCATTGTTCTTTCAGATAAAGTTCTTAAGTGATCAATAGAATATCTTGGCTGTTCCGTGGTAGTCTGATATCTGGCAATTAATTGCTCCTTGACCTTCTTCCAACTCCATTCACCAACTCCCCAACCTTCCATATCACGTATTTCCTCCTTAAGTTCTTCTCCAACAACAAAACTGGTAATTTGCCTGACCATATCCAATTCTGAGGCGCCATTTGCTTCAGCTTGACTATGATAATTGATAATAAATTTCTTAACATTTCCTCCAACTTCAAATCTAACACTTGTATCAGAATTATCAATTTTCCGTGGTTTAACATGACTCCTACTTCTCTCATTTCCTTCTTCCTCTTCACTTTCTTCTGAAGTTGAGCTTGAATCATCACTTGAGCTGCTTGAGGCGCTTGAATCTCCATCACTTTCTTCTTCCTTAATAACCTCCTTCTTCCTACTTATCTTCTTTCCTTTTCCCTTCTTAACTACCTTAATAACTTCCTTAACTCTTTCCTTCTTCCCTTTTTCTTCCTTAAGTCTTATTAAATTAATTATATCCGCCATTTCTCTCTCTCTTCTTAAATAATGTTGTTGTTGATTAATAAACTGTTGTTGCCAATCAGGTTCTTCCTCGTGGTCTGAGGGTAATAATGTTTCTTGTTCTCTAAATCCAGTAAATGCTGAAGGTGGAATTGGATCCTCAGAAGTTGATTCTTCACGTTGTTTTCCACGTACAGTTGATCCTGAAGCAGGTCCTGGTGGTGGTGGTAAAGAGCCAGAGGGTAAAGATGTTGAATAATTCACAGGATTTTCTAAAGCATAAGTTCTACTACTACGTGGAGTTCTTTTATAATGAGAAGTTGGTGGTAATTCTAATTCTGAATCCCCTTCTTCTCCTCCTTCTTGATCATGAATTTGAATGATTGAAGACATGATATTGATTTTAATTATTATAAAATGATATTATAAAATAAAGAAAGAAACTCGAAATATTGATAATTTTGAAAGTTATAATGAATTAAAAGTGAATATATGCGTGGTTTTTAAGTTATATTCTTTCTTTTAAAGATTGATTATTGTTATTTAATATGTTATTAGTTGATATTGAATTTTATTAATTGAATTTTGTTGATATTTGTTGAATATAATTTTCTTTCGAAATGATGAATTGTATTATTATTAATTTGATTATTGATGATTTAATAATAAATTGTTGATGTTTTAAGATAATAATTAGGGAAATTATTAAATATAATTGACGGATGTTGCTTGTTTAAAGTAAAGAGCCCCAGTGGAGTCACCAATATGTAGTATTTAAAGCTCAACAAGAGCTTTACAACACCTAAGAAGGGATAATCTACCACGTGTAATATAGTAGAAGTTGCCTAAAGACTGCCTTCTTCAAAGAAACCAGCACAAGGGCACTTGCTGACCACTTTGTGATAACAGAGAAAAGGATAAAAGGCACCAGAGAAATAAAGCAATACTGTTGTTAAGTATTATTCCCAGATTTTAAGCGCAAAAAAGTCACAAACTATGTTTATTACTAGCAATACTGTTGTAAGTATTATTCCCAATTAGACTTGTAGTCTTTAACACACGTAAATAAATTTCTCCTTGCTTTTGAAGGGGCGGATTTAAGTGATCTTAGTACAAATATAGTAAATAAATGATGATTTATAACACTACAACAAAGGTATAAGATGCAGAAAAGGGCGCTACAATCCCAAAATCATCAAGGAGTACTTATATCCACATGTAACAATCTTTACAACAGTCAACAGCCTCAAAAACCAATCAAATCCGCCTAAATAACCCTAAAAACCATGTAATGACGCAATGTAATGATCTTGTTACTAATGTATGATGTAATTTTCACAGCCAAAAGTGATCAATGACGCAATGATGTAATGTACAGCACTTCTTAAGATGAATACAGGTGATTTTTTCCTTGTAAACTAGCTGAAACCCAATTTTTGAGATTACGAATTTTTTCAGATGTGCTCCAATTTTTGATTACTAAAATGCATCTTGTAGCCCACGTGTTACTGATCATTTCTGACACCTATAAGACCTATTTCTGATGAGTGATGAGTAAGATATTGAGTTGTGAAGTTAAGGTTTTTGGTGTTACATGTGTCTTGTGACTGTAAATTCGAGATTCACACCAATTTCTTATTTCCCTTATAACTTTTTACATAAACCTCCGTTACTAATGATTCAAAGGTTGTACATTATGTAATCCACTCTTCTGCGTTGAATGAGCCATCTACCAACTTATTCTGACGTCATTTGACATATGTAATTAGCTGAAAACCTCCATTTTCGCCGATTTTCACCTGTTTTCTTCACTTTTCACAGCTGCTACTCCCTTTTCCTTGCTCATGTAATATGACATCATCTTCTATAACCTTAAAAATCCCGGAAAATCCTCTTGGCAACCTTAAATTCCATCACTACCACCATTACATATGTAAACTACACGCCTAACCCTTGTTTACCAACTTCGAAAAAGTACCTTTCTGCTAATAACCTCTGTTTCCCCTTATCAACCTTGAATATTAAAATTGTTCCTGTATAATAAACTGTTGTTCTTTCATATTCTAACCTTATAAAACCCATAACTTAATTATAAATAAGCTAAAAACCATTTTCCAACTTTTACACCTATATTTTCGAATTTTTCTTATCTTTTCTTTTTCTGTCTTTTTGTAATAACTTTGTAAGTAAACTATGTTGATCTTAATAATAATTCTGAAATAAGATGACATAATAATGAGCTAATAAGTATACATAAGCCTCTAAGAGCTTCAATTGATCTGAAAACCTGAATTTCGAATTCTCTGCTATATTGAAGTTTGCTAATAAACTGGTAAAGTAAAGATGATTAATTTTTTTGCTTAATATCATAAATAGATCACCACAACGTGTATGTCAGAAATGTTACGTTTGCAGGTCTGCGGTGGAGATGCTCTAACGAATCTTACATACTGGTCTTACAAAGTGGTCATCTAGAAAATGTGATCATATACTTACAATTGTATGAAGAAACTCAGATAAAGTGGCTCAATTCAATCTCAGATTAGAAGCTCCGATCGAAATGCAGTTGTCAACGTTTCACCCAACAAAAGAACCATGTCAACTTGTCAAATTCAAATTTGAGATTCAACAAATCAGCTGATTGATCTTACAAAAACAGACTCACTTCCACCGCGCGACCCTGTACAACTCGACTAGTAGTCGAATTGAGGGGGACATTTCAAACGACTACTAGTCGAGTGTGGCTGTTAACAGCCTCTCTCAGAGATGACCTGTTAAGCCCACCCAAATACACACAAGTCCCCCGGGCGAAATTTTTTGAAATTCAACACCGTAACTTGCCCAAATCCGGCTTAAGACTTCCTACAGTCAAGTCCGTGTGTAACATCGGGTTTGCCCTACCCGGTCACCGCTCATAGGGGCCTGTCAGTGTCGGGCCATTGGCTCTTGCTGAGTTGTGAAGTTGCTGAGCTGGTACGTTCGTCCTAAATATTGATCGCTTTCTCCATACCACTGTAAACATCATTCAACTTCCCCAATTTGGCAGAGGAAAATGATTAATAGTACAGTTTTTCATAAAAGAATCTAATACTGCACACCTGGGCCATTTCACCCACACTACATATGTGCAGCAAGCTAAGTCAATAGTTGTCTATCATGTACATACAGGTCTGCTCAGTTTTTTGCCCATCAGAATAAATAAATCACATGTTATACCACATGTAACTTTTTCGACTTTGAATTTTGTTTCCCAAAAATTCACTACATATAATTCTGTAGCTGCTCAGGCAATATTGTTGAAGCTATGTCTTAGTAACAGAAAGTGTGTTACATGCAGTTGAGTTGATGAGATCACACCAAAACATTGAGTCAGTGTATGTAGTCAATCTTTTGGAAGCTTTTTTCAATCTGAAAGAAGTTACAGCATGTATTACATATGAATAACTTGTCCTGATGAGCAGATAACTGAGCAGAACTGTATGTACATGATAACCACATATTCACTGAGCCTGCTACACATATGTAGTGTGGGTGTTATGGCTCAGGTGTGGAGTGATAGACCATTTTATGACAAATCATACTCCCAATCATTTTTCCCTGCCCACTTGGGGAACCCGAATAATGTCTGCAGTGTACGTCACCTTCACCACCTTAACCGCACTTCAATCAAGCATCCATGGTACGATCACGTCAGCCGAAGCGCGATTCAAATGTGCTCGCCAACCTTGGGACTAGGCCTTCACGCAAAAGACGAGCAGATACCCCACCTCGAAAACCTCCTGATATACCGAAATCGATTTCTGATGCGCTTGGCATTTACCCGAGTAGAACAAATGACCAGCCCATTCAACAGAACAACAATCATCATTTGAATGATATCGACATAAATGATGACCCGGTAGCAGCTCAATTTATACCTCATCCTGAAAACCCGGAAGCCAATCCTCCTCCGATTTCTATTCCTGGTACACAATTCGCTCAAGAAAGTCGAGAGTATTGGAATGCAGAGGCTCGACGACTTGAAAAAATCAAATGGGCCGCCATAGAATCCGAAATGACCGCTACCTATCTTGAATGCCAGCATCGTACAAGGAACTGGACTTCTCAAGCCTCTTACCTCGATGTAAATCTCATCTGCCAATGTCCGGATTCAAAACTTGTCAAGCAAACGGTCAACCTCTATGAACAGTCAAGCTTTCAATTTCAAAAAGAGATCACATTTTGTTCATGTATGCCGAGACCGGTACGGCTCTTACACTACGGATATATTGCAAGCTCAAGTCAAATTCCCAAGACAGCTTTTGCAATCCCACTCTTACAATTCCATCATCAACTGTGGAGCGAGACTGTTGTAGCAAGCACAGGATTTGTCAATGCGTTGTTTAAATTTCTCAAATCACGAAGCGACGGAAGTGAAACAAATACAAAACTCAAAAACACCCAGCACCAGTCTCTTATACATGATCGAGATTTGAGAAAGCAATTCACACAATCAGTCAATATGTATCGATCTATGAGTATTTGTACGAAGCGAATTTATACACAAGGCCTGAAGCTTTCTAATGCTCAGCTTTTGGCCGACCGATGTGCACGTTGTTTCGGTCCAGCAATCAATGAAAAGAAGATTTCACCTCAAGAGCCAGATGTTATAGTGGCCTTAGATGGTAATTTCCAACATCGTCACTATACAAAGTCAAGTAAGGATAATCCAACCGAAGAAGAATATCCCGATATATTTATCAAGCCCTCTAGTATGAAGAAAAACGAAATTATTCAAAATTCGACTGAAAATCAAGTCAAGAATATGAAGGTGAGTCTTTCAGTAATTTCGTTATATTATACTGATCTATTACTGATTTGAATCATATCCAGACTGCGTGTGCTGACTCTCACACTGCAGCAAACGATGTTAGAAACTCTACCTCTTGGAAGCAAAGCGATGACACGGGCCTCTTTGGATGTACATGTCGACACGATGTACCCCTCAAATTAGCCAACATTTACAAAACTGGTGAAAAGTGAGTGACTTGGCTCAATTTCTTATCGACTGGGTTGATATTCATGTTATCTTCTGAATGCTCAAAACAGGCTGTACTACCCGCTCAGCATCCTGGAGAAGTTGTTGACCGATTTGCCCGAAATCAAGGTTGGAGTACTGTATGATATCGGGTGTCAATTGGAAGCGCATATCAAGAAGGTAAGTTTTGCTATTCTACCAATTTTACATAGGTCTCTAATCTTTTTGTACAATCAGCGAGGTTTTCTTGAGGAGCTCAACCAACGACTTAGTTATGAAACATCAGTATTCCATGCGTATGTGCACAACTGGGCCTGTCAAGTATTGTACAATCCCCGATTCAATAACTTTTGGGGATTATCCGATGGCGAAGGACTCGAAAGGTTCTGGTCTTTCCTGTCCTCGCTAGTGGCTATCAATCGTATCTCTACCCGTCTTCATCGACTACTCAATATCGACTGGAGGACAAGTTTTTATGTGGAGATCACATTAATGTCAACAGGTATGTGAGAACAAATAAAAGTAGAACTGCTTATCAATGACTTACTTCCTTTTGATTCACCATAGCCAAATGGCTCTTACGCAGGCTACAGAATGCTCAAACAGTATCTGGTCAAGCTAGAACAGCTCTTACAAGCCTATCGAGCAAACGAAGTTCCCTTTTCCCTACCATCAGATACACTGACGACTTTTTGCGTCAACAGTGGCTTGTTGAGCGCAATTCTCAACAGAAGAGGTGCCATATAAAAGAAGAACAAAAATTAGAACTAGGCCGATTATTATATTATGAGGAGATGGCTCAAACGGTGTGGTAAGTTCAATTACAACTCATCTAGTACTATAAACAATAGAGTGACGAAATCAATTTCTCAAGGGATAAAGATGCAGAAAATGTTGAAGAAGCGGTGCTTAGGTTAAAAGAACATAATACATACAAAAAGAAGATCGAAAAACAGCGTGAAAAAATTGGTTCCGAAGTGATTCTCAACAATCTGGATGGTACTTATTTTTTCTTCCTATCACTCAACCAAATCACTGATGTTGCATCATACCCCTTCAGCTCACGAACAAGACCAGATCTTGAAGATCTGGTACACTAAGCAAGAGGTTCGTGATCAGTTTCTGGCAATTTGCAAACAGAAACGACCTTTGGATATAAGCCGACGTGATGGAAGGAATTCGAGTATTGGTAAGATATTTCTTTGCCGTAAATTCTCAATCAAAGTGTTTTTTTGAAGATAAACATTCCTCCATATATGTACAGGCTACAACGACAAGACACCTCTACTCAAGACACTCCGCGATCAGGCAGCTAAATTGAAAACCAAACTAGAAAACTATCAGAAGATGTTAAGTACATATTCAACCACGTCTCCACATCGATCTCAACCTGCAAACATCACCTACCCTGAATTGCTAAAGATCGACTTTGATCACCCATTCTGGAACGATGGCTTGTTCACAAACGGACGGGAACCTTGGGCGATTGATGCTAACACACAGTATGGAATGCAACAGGTCGCCTATTTGGATCGGGCTAGTGAGGAGATTTGCCGAATAGGATGGGAAGTCAGGAGAGTAATGAGGTGGGCAATGAACTCGCACAAATCTCTTTATAGTTTTTTGTTTCAACTTCAATCACATCAATACGATGACGAGGCAATTCAAATGGAACTTCCCCTGGTTCAACATCCGGCTCTAAGTTCACTCAGTAGACCGGGTATCATTTCAGCTGCACAGGTGATCATCAATGAGAGGCTAGTAAAAGTTTTCGATTTGCAACTGTCCTGGAATCCAAAACTGCTCAAAGTTTTTCAAAGGACACCACCTCAAGATGGCGATGGCGACCTCAGAATTGATTGGCGTAAGCAAGTTCAAAAAATACAAAATATGAAATCAAGTCGTGCGATTGTATTGAACCCAGGAATTATCAGTATCTTGAATGAGGAAGATGATGAGATTCAGATGGAGATTCAAGGGACTGGTGGGGTATTACCTAATGAGCTAGGAGTGCAGGGTGTTGTGAATATTTATGATGAGTCCAATGAAAGTGATGAAGAAATTGAGAAGGAGGATGAGGATATTCATGAAGCACTCAATGTTTTTTCCAATTTGTCTGTTACCTGAATGTAAAGTTGTGAAAATCAAGTTGTTGAGAAAGTGAAATTGGATTGTAGGAGAATTGCATCATGTGATATATTTGCCTTTATCATATGTGAAAATCAAAGTGAGCCTAGTTTACCTACTTGAACTTTTCAGTAGCCATCCACTGTCAATTTATCAAGCTATCAGGTGTTGAAACAAAGCCCAATATGACTGTAGCTCTGCTGATAGCTTCGGATCCAAGGTTTCACATCATTTTTCAAAATTGAGAGAGCTGATATGGGCCCATGCTGAAGCCCATATGTAGGTACTGTGAGACTGAGTTTTGGATGTAGAAGTACCAATTTCAAATATTTGATCAATGAGATTCTAGGGATTACTAATCTGTTATTTTATAAACTTCATTGAAGTATGTTATTGATTGTTATATATCTGAGCAGCCCATGTGCTGGGTGGGAGAAGTGTGTAGGGTTATACTTTTTTCTAAATAGGCTACAGAAGTATTGTGATTTAATTTTCTTAAAGTAACAATAGTAGCGGAGAGAATGGGCAACTTTTAAGCTATTTGGGCAAGAAATGAAAAAGTTATTGAGAATTGAATCATATGCATAGTATGAAGAAATTGTGCAGGACGGGGTGGACAAATATGGTTATGGAGAGTTACACAGACATGAAAAGCTTAATATGGTGGTATATTCAGAAATCTTACATATTAGCGGATCAAATGGTCCAATTTTCAAGTACTTTGGACAACAACTGACAAAGTTATTGAAGATCCTGTCCATGCAGGTGGGAATAGGGAAAATGTGCAAAACGGGAGAGACAAATGCACTTATACCTTTTGTCACACATGTCATGTAGCTGATGTAATGGTATATTGATCATCTTTTCTTAAAGTGACAATACTAGCGGAGAAAATGAGACTATTTTTATGCTATTTGGGCAAGAAATGAAAAAGTTATTGAGAATTGAATTATATGCATAGTATCAAAAAATTGTGCAGGACAGAGCAGAAAAAAGTGGGTATGGACAGTGCCACACATGTAGTAAGCTATATATGGGAGTATTTTCAAAAAGCCCACATATTTGCGGAGAAAATGGCCCAATTTTTAACTGCTTTGGACAAAAAGTGACAAAGTTATTCAAGATTTCATCCATGAGGGTCAGAATGAGGAAAATGTGCTGAACTGGAGAGAAACATGTACTTGTAAGTTTTTTCAGACATGTCATAGAGCTGATATGTGTGAAAATT